GGTATATGGACGACCCCTTAGTGAAATATGTGACTTTTAATTAGTGGAATTCCACTAAAATATTAGTAAAATTTTACTAAAAATTAATAATATTATACTGATTGAAAAGGGGAAAATTCTTCCATGAAAACTACTAAAAATTAGTCAAATTTTACTATTTCTTAGTAGAATTTTACTAATTCAGATTTAGAGAGATTACCCACACAGCACCGAAACTTTCCTTAAAATTTATGAAAGATTTACTTGCAAACTTCGAAAAATTTACTTGCAAAGTGTGGTGAAAATTGTGTAAAGATTTAAATGTCCCACTTCAATAAATGTTTATCGTCAAATTATCCTAAAAATTTAGCTTAAAACTTTCCTGAATATTTAATAGTATATTGTGCAACAAGTACAGAAAGAAGCTGTTTTCCGACGAGTGCAAAGTTTGCTGTCCCGAGCGAAGCGAGGGCAGCAATTTGCACGAAGTTGGAAAATCTTCTTTCGTACGTGTTGCACACAGTACTTTGTGCAACACCTTTTGGTTTTGATAAAAAAAGCTGTTTGGAAACGCTAGTTGACGCCAACATACGTACTGTTTAGCAGGGTTTGGAACGTATGTTACCGCACGTAATATTCGTGGTTTTTTACGCGTATATTACTGTAAAAAACAGGTATTCTACAAATAGAAAACAAATACCTATGTATATCACCAAAAAAACCCAAAAGTTTAAGAACTTTGCCGCACTAATGCAGCAAAGTAAGCTCTTTGCCGCACTAGTGCGGCAAAGTACTGTTTTGCGCCTACTTTACAGGCATGCAAAGTATTACTTTCCTTACAGGTGTTGCACAAATTAAATTTTCGCCTATATACAGTAGGCGAAATTTTTTTTAAATTTTCAGGAAAGTTTCACGCTAAACATTTATTGAAGTGGGACATTTAAATCTTTAAACAAATTTCACTAAACTTTTCAAGTAAATACTTTGAAGTTTGCAAGTCAATCTTTAATAAATTAATCTTTAATAAATTTTTAGGAAAGTTTTCTTGCTGTGTGGATTATTGCTGTAATATTACGTGCTACTGGGGTAATATTTTAAAATAATTTTTTATGATTTTGTTTTAAATTTTAACGAAAACTTGGGAAAGCGAATGCGTGAAATAAAACATTTCTGTATTTTATATTTAAATATATACGAGGAATTGAAATAGAATTAGCCATCAATATTGATGCTTATTAAACAAAATTATTTATACCAGTCAATTTGCCGCAAATGGAAAATTAAATTCAAAATAAGAAAAAAATGTTCAATTTTTTCATCGAGGCTGTATGGTTTTTATAATATTGATGAAAATCAACAATTGAGACTTAACATTTGATTCCAATATTTAGCAATTTTTTTCATATTTTAGTATTTTATTTTATTTTTTAATTATTATTTATTTTTTCAACGAGTTCGAAAAATTGCATGAAACTTTTATTCATATACCACACAGTAAAATATTACCACACAGTAAAAACTTTCAATAACGAATAGAATAAAAAAATATTATTGAAATTTTATACTCAGTTAAATATTTTCAATAACAAAAAGAAGAAACTTTTGATAAATTTAAAATTTAAATGTTGATTGGTTGTACCGGAAAGGATTTCCTTGATTGCAGAGTTTCTCCCACGAGATTTTCCAGACAAGAAGATCAGGCACATGCTTTTAAGACGTCCTGAGAGAGTTCTCTCCTTAGACTATATAGTAAGGTAGGCAGTTTGAATATTTTATCATTCGAATCTAAATCAACTATTGATCGAACCAAACGTCGTATTTTTTTTGCCCACCGAGAAAACCAACTCATTTTCAATTTATTAATCTCCACCCTTCAAACAATTATTACTTGGTGCATATATATTTCAATGCCAATCATCTAATTGCTGTCGAAAAAAATATCCTCATTCACTAATAGTAACGAAATTTCATACATTTTTTTTTACCAAAAACAATTTCCGTAATTAATATAAAATTGACTTCAATTTAATTACATTTATTTTTAATAGAATATTCCGTTATTAAAATAATCAAAAATATTTTATTGTAAATTAATTAAATGAAATCGTGTAAATTTAAAAAATAGTTTCTATATTTTTCGCTCGGGTATAAAATGAAAAAATATTCTTCTCCTCTCTATAAAAAATTTTGTTTAATTAGTGTAAATAACAACCAAAAGCACAAAAGTAAACAAAAAATTAATAATATTTTTCACCTCTCGTGAATATATTTTTAACAAATTAAAAATATTTTTAAAACAAAAAAGCATTCCTGAAATAATTGATGAATCAATTTTCTCTCGAGCTTAAATATGTGTGTTCGTGCTTGAAAAATATGGAAAAATAATATTAAAAATATATATATATATATATATATATATATATATTGAAGAATTGGTGTGAAATTTTCCTAAAGTTCAGTGCATATAAATTTAGAGGAGGCTTTTAATTAAAATCATCAATAATTCAAGTGGTGTGAACAAAAATTTCCAAAGGTACTTTTCTAACTTGAAATTTTGCTGAAAATACATACTGCTATCAATCAATGGAGAAATGAAAAAAAAAATTATTATTCATAACTAATTTCAAAAGTAAAATTTATTATTTTTGGTCAGTTTTTCAAGAGGTTTTTTTTAGAAATTAAACAATAGAAATTAAAAAAAAATTTTTTAAATTACATTATATATACCGCGTGAATAAAAAGACAAGTTGCCATCAAATATACATCGACTCCATCAAGATGCAATCTTTCCAAAGTGGAAAGTCATTTTTATCTCGGTCGGGGATGTAAAAATTGACCGATCAATGGGGTGATTGATCGTCACGAAAAATGAACTTTCCGTGAACTCATCGTTCTCTAGCGACAAGAATTGTATAATTTTGCTCAGACTGGCGCTCTCTTGCGTCATTACTTTAAATCAATTCACATCTTGGCAAGGCAGAACTCTAAAAAATTGATTTTTCACAAATAGAAAAAGTTTAATTAATTATTTTTTTCTAATTTTTTTAATTTCTATTTTTCTCCTTATTTTTTTAATATGAATTTTTTTCTATTTTCGTTTTTAAATAAATTTCAATCTGAGTAAAACTGTTCAAAAATAAATTTATAAAAACTTTTTGTAATTTTTCCTGATGTTTAAAAATTTTACTCTATTTAATATAGTATAAAGGTAAAACTAATAGATTATTAAAAATTCTATTCGGTTTTCTCAAAGTGAAACGGAGGAAAATTTTATTACAAACATTTTAAATGTTTCAAAAACGGAAAAAGCATTATTTCTTTCAGAAAAAATACCTCCGACTGTTGGTAAAGTAGATTTCTACCTTTAATCGGTAAAAATTATCTCACGAATTGGATTTTTAATCGAAATAAATAGTAGATTTTTTAGTTATTAATCATTTTCCAATATTTCCAAAATTTTAAAAGGAAATATTACTTTACTCATTAACAAAAATAAAACCAAAAGATTGTTACCAAATTTTTCGCTCAATTTAACGCAAAAGAAATTAATATTTTGTTCTAAAAATTTAGGAAACATGAAATCTGACCACAAGTAACGTGCCTACACTATTATTTTGTAGAATTTGGAAGAAAAAATATATTGAGTCAAGAAAAACTGTTTTTCCGCGGTCGGTAAAGTAAATTTCCTACCGTAACGAAAATTTATTTTCAATCAAAATTTTAGTGTTAATTAAGTTTAAAGAAGTTATTTCAAATAGAAAGAAAGAAAATATTTCGCGTTTCTCGCGGTAAAACGGTATAAAATTTTAGTGTAAAAATGTAGAATATTTTTAATTTGATTAAAAGCAACGTGTAAATAATTTTTTAAAAACAATTCTTCCAAAAATTTTTTTGTAAAAGAAAATACATCCAACAGTCGGTAAAGTAGATTTCTCTCTTCTATCACCAGAATTATTTCCAGAATTGGAATTTCAATCGAAATAAATCGTATTTTCCTTGTTCTTTAATAATTTTTACTGTTCCCTAAAGTAAAAAAAGTAAAAGAACGTAATTTTATGTTAATCATTACTAAACAAGATTGTTACAAAATTTGTCGCTCATCTCAAAGAAAGAAATTAATATTTTGTTCTAAAAACTTTGGAATTATGAAATCTGACCAACAACAACGTGCCTACACTATTATTTTGTAGAATTTCGAAGAAAAAATATATTGAGTCAAGAGAAACTGTTTTTCCGCGGTCGGTAAAGTAAATTTCCCAGTGAAACTAAAATTTATTTTTTGCAATTAAAATTGTAGACATTAAAACTCTTACCTGGTTACATTACATAATTTTTGTACATTATTGTTGTTGTTTCGCTGATTTTTTTTTAAAACATTTAAAAATTTTTTTTTCTAAAAAAAACTTAAAAATTTAGTTTTTTCATTTCAAATTATTGATCCTACCCTTGTAGAAATTTAACCATGGCCCGAATCGGGGCCAGATCTTTTGATCATTGTGTAGGCCATAACATGGCAATTTCTACACGGGTACAAACCACAAAAAGCTCTACACTATTACAATACTTGGATTATAAAAGAGTCCTACATTTATTAAAATTTTAGTGTTAATTAAATTAAAAAAAGGTTATTTCAAGTGGAAATAAATGAAATTAGAACATTATTCATGAATAGTAGATATAATATATTTCATATAATAACGTAAACAATTCAATGATTTTGTACAAATGCATTATTAAGTATACAAAAGAAAAATTAATTCCTGTAACTATATATTAGCCTAGAGTGCGAAAACGAGATGGCAAATCGTTTTACAGACATTTGAAATAATTTCATATCTTGTACAAAAAAATGAAAAAATATAAAAAATAATAAATAAATTCTACCTTAACTCTGTAATTTAAAGACAAAAAAAAATAGAAAAATGGTAACTTTAATAATAATAAAAAAAATCACATCCATAATTTTGGCAAATTATGATTCGTATTCGAGAGAAATATTCTATATCCTCAAAGAAGGAGGAATTTCTTTTTTTCTTCTTTTCGAACACTAAAATCTTTTATAAGTCGTTGTCGCTTGTGGAATGACGAGAGAGTGAGACTCGAGTGTCGGACTTTAACATCCGAGTATAAAAATTTCACGACTTATTACTCACATACATATTGGCCAAGTGTTCCACACACATACAATCATACTTGAGAGGGGAAAAAAGAAAATCCCACAATTTTTTTTTCTTTTGCAAGAAAGACATCAGAGATAGAGATGAAATATACATATTCATTAAATGGTTCCAATGTGATTATAAAAAGCCAAAGAGATTTACATTTATGAAACATTCAGAAACAATTATTTACACTGATCACTTGTCCTTGGACAAAACAAAAAAAAAAACTTCAAGAACTTTGGTAATTCACTTTGAATGTGAAATATTCATTCTTTGGAATTGGAGAAGAAAAATGGCAAAGAATTTTTCTCTCACAAGCGCTAAGTAATATTGCATGAAATAGAAAAGAATAGATATATAACTGTTTCTTTTTCTATCTCATGCAGAACTTGAAGCTATGGATAGAGAAAAGATGAAAAAAATGGCACTTGAAAAGAAACGAAATCGAACGAGGGTGCTGAGACCCCCAGTCCAATATTGCTATCTTCGATAATCAAACCAATTCTGATTGAGAAGAGTTGCCTTTAAAATGAGAGAATTTTCGCTTAAATCAACGTGTTCCCCATCATCATCTTCATCATCCGATGATGAGGGAGATTCATTTTTCTCATGAAGTTTGTGCTTCCAAAGTTTATGGAGAAGCAAGGAAGTGCGACTGTGATAAGGATCGAAGATCTGCCCCCTTGCTGGTGCATCGTCAGGACATGAGAAACATTTATAATTTCTCTTCAAACATTCCTGTTTTTGTCTTTGATATTTCTCCTTAAGCTTCTGCCAATCATCGATCATCATAGGCTCCGTATTATTTGAATTCTGATCGTCCAATTGCATCAAGTCCTCCATGACAATTAATTTGTGAAGCACCTTCCTCGGTTGACTCTGCTTTCGTCTTCTTTGTGTATTACTCAGGTCACTGTTGTCATTTTTTTTTTTTTTTTTTTTTTTTTTTGAAAAAGAAAGAAACAAAAATTTTAATACACATACATTTTTTTTCTTTATCGTTTTCTAATTCCTCATAGTTCTTCACAGATTAAATGTTCTTGTGAAATTCAAGGTTGTCCTTGTCGTCCAAGCAGCTGCAACGCCCTCTGCCGGAGGTGACGCTATGGTTGCCGTCGTTGTGGTGAAGTTTACCATCTCGTGGCTGCAACCACCGCGGCACTGTTCCATAAGTTACGTTCAATAATAAAAAATCGAAAAAAAATAAATACAAAAAAAAATTAAATTTTAAAACGGAAAATTATTTCTATCCAAAAGCAGAGAGAAAAAATTTTCCTCAGCGTGTACTAAGGCACTTCTACAATTTTCTTTTCAACTCACCAAGCCTTAAGCACGTAATCTAACCTCTAAATCAAATATTTTAATTTTTACCACTTACTCAAGAGAGAAAAGGATAACTTTTATCCTTATTTCCTATCCTTTTCCCTCTTGTGTAAAAATTAAAATATACGATTTACTATTTTTATTTTACTTAAGTCTGGTCACAATACTGCAAAGTTTTCTGATGGAAACATTATTTTTTTACACACCTGCAGTTTGTTTGGGAAAAAAATGTTATTGTAGAAGCACCTTTATAAACATGTATATAAAAAACAGTAACAAAACGAACAGGCGTGCGGCTACGGATGCGACGACAATAAACAAGGACCTTGGCGTTTAAAATATTTAAAAAAAATTGTGAATAAACAGAAAAAAAACTGAAAAACATTCAATAATAAAAAACTATGAAAATTAAAATATTTCACAAATACATCTAATAAAATTATACAATAAAAAGTAATAATTATCATTATATCTGAACTGGACACATAAAAAATACAGGTAACTGCATTTATGCTGTCCTTCCGATTTGATGGAATTTTGAAAATTCGTGTCATTTTTCTATCAAATATTCTTAGTTCATGGCGTACGAATATATTTATTCATATGCCATGAATTTTGAACTTTAGTTCTGACAGTCGGCTATGCCAAAAGTCATTTAAGAAGAAAAGAAAGAAAAAGAAAATATGCCATGAATTTAAAACTTTTTGATAGAAATGACACGACTTTTCAAAATTTCTTCAGACCGGAAGGACAACGAAATAAAAATTGCTAAATTACAAAACATAACCTAAAAATAAAAAATACACTGAAAGAAAAATAATTTCTTTTGGTACTGAAATTTTTTTTCGTATGTATCTAGAAAAATATGTGAAGAGGTAAAAGGCAAAAAAAAGTTAGATTCTCTATTTTCGACATTATTAGGTAAAAAGGATCAAATAAAAATGTTAGATTCTCTATTTTTGACATTATTTTGACATTATTATTTTTTGACATTAAAAAGAACAACTTTATTGTAATTTGGCCTTAAATCGTAAACTTTCAAGACAGAAAAAGATGAATGATACTTTTCTCCTTTTCTTTCTCATTCTTACTGTTTATGTTTCAAAACGGACAAAATTCATCTCCTATCTCTTATTGGACAATTTTATTTATTTATATATTTATTTACTTATTAATTTACTTATTTGGTATTTATGTACTTATTTATTTATTTTGAAAAGATTTTACTGTAAATTTTTGTCCTTTTACCTCTTTTGCATCAAATTATTATCAAAAAACCTAAAAATTAATAAAAAATGAATTAATAAAAACGATAAAAACTAATAAAAAGAAGTAACAATAACCTAAAAAATTAAATTTAACTAAAAATTAAGATAATTTGCTAAATTGGCATAAAGTGCTAATAATAAATATCTCCATGATCACATCCAATGAATTTTTACAATGAGCCAATTTCATTGTGCAAATTCATTGTATGATTTCGTTAAAAATAAAAGAGATTTAAAATCAGAATCAAACATTAAAATTAAGGGCATGAGTTTATATAAAATTAGATATGAAAAGAATAAAATCGAGAGTTATAAATTTCTGTCATTTTAAGGTTAGGCTACTTTAGGTTAAGGCCAATGCACAATAAGTTCGCGAAATCAAAAAATGAGACAGAAGAGGACAGAGATACTCTTCTATCCTTTTCTATCTTATTCTTCATATTTAAAATGTTTTAAAAACTTATAAACGTTATATAGGTAAATTTTTTTGAAAATTTCTTTGTAATTTCTAAATTAACGAAATTATATGCCCTTAATTAAGAATAGAGTATATAAAAAGCAAATTTGTGTTTCATTAAAAAAACTACAGTAAAAATTTCTAATTATATACATGCATACAAATATACATAAATATTATATATATATATATATATATATATATATATATATATATATATATATATATATATATATATATATATATGTGTGTATGTATGTGTATAATAAAATATCATCGTCCCATGGTACAATAAGATTTATTCATAGTAAGAAACTTTCAACACAGATTTAATTACGACAAAACTGATTAATTCACTTGCACAACTTCATTATATTCTCCTCTTGCTTATAATACGGAAAACTCTTCACTATGTACCATGAGAGAAATGAAAGTTATATAAAACTTTGGCAAATGGTGCACTGAGATGAAAAATAATTTTCAAGGAAAACAAAAGATTAATTCGAACTTTATATATAAATATTTTCTATTATTATCATATCCCTTTGAGTGGAGAAATATTAATTAAATTGATCATCATCAAAGGGATGTGATTTGAATAAAATAAATGTATGTATACGGGGAAAACGCAAAGTTCAAATTGCCAGAAGTCAAAATGTGAATATTAATATAGCTAAACGTGAGGAATTTACATATTCTGGTAAAATAGAATCATCAGAAAATGAGCATGCTGAATAATATTATCATAATTTGTATATATAGACTAAAAGCGAGAAATATTTTATCGACAAATGATAATTAATAAACCTACCCAAGAATTGTATTTGGAGGAATGACTGTTGCTGATGGTACAATTGCTGACGCTGGTGCTGGAAATACTGGTGGTCCTGGTGGTGGTCGTCCTCCGCCAACGGGGCTGTAATTTTTTTTTGAAAATATTACTTTATTTTCCTAGGACGCAATTTTAAATCAATCAGAAAGTTTTCAAGAAAGAAACTATTCAGAAATTTAGGATTTCTCTAAACTTTTGGATCAGAATTTAAAATAGTTTGTTAAAAAAGATTTTAGATATTTACTGCAATGTTTGTTGTTGCTGTTGCTGCTGCTGTTGCGGTTGCTGATGACGATTTTGTGTTTGTGATTGAGCCGAAGTTGGTGACGATGCAACAGAAGCTGATGAACTGGTAGTGACACGATGAACGTGCAACTGATGTACCTGCAATTGTGCAGCATCCTCCGCTAAGAATGAACATCTCGAGCATTGTCTTCGGTTGTGAACTTTGAGAACATGAGTCGCTAGACGTTCAGCTCTTGCTGCTTTATATTCGCAGAGTGTACAGGCAAACGGTTTCAAATGAGTGTTGAGATGCCGCTTTAAACACCAATTGTCGACACCACTCCACGAACAGTAGCAACAGGTGTACCTGAAAAAAAGTAGGCAGACAATTTTAGATCAAATAATTCTGAATTCAACGATTAATGCTGTAAATGATAAGTTTCTTTTTGTTAGAGAGGATACTTAAGGGAACAAGTGGTCAACAATCAACTAAGAACTGGTAAGGGATTGAGAGGATGGTAAATTATGCTACATCTTAAAAACTTCAACCAATACAGATGATGATGGTTACAGACAAATATGTTAACAATTACAGATGACACCGAATACATTTGTTCCATAGTTTATTAAAAAATACAGATGATACTAAATGAAGATGCTAATAATTACAGATGATACCCAACAAAGATGATGATTAGGAACAACAAAAAAGTTTGATGCTGTAACTAGAAAATGTTGAACCACTACAGATGATACTAAATAAAGATGTTAATAATTACAGATGATGCCAAACAACAATAAAGTTTGTTGCTGTATTTAGAAATCTGATCCCTGCAGATCTGCATCACTATAGATGATACTAAATAAAAGTTGTTAACAGTTACTGATGATACCAAATAATGATAACGACAATTAGAAACAAAAACAATTTAAAGTGCTACAACTGGTAGCGAACAACTGCTACAAAAATTCCAACTAATACAGATGGTACTAAATAAAGATGTTAACAAATAAAATTACAAAAATCTTCCACAATTGTAATACAATCCAAAAATGTATCTTCAAATTAAAATAATATCATCTAATTAAATAACCAAAATTCAAAAGCAGTACACTACGGAATTTCATTTCACGTCTACTTTTAATTTCAGTCAAATTTAATTTCGAAATTCATTCTATATTTGAATCTACAATAATTTTCAACGGCTCTATTTGTCTTTAAAGCGGTGACCAGAAGTCTTTTTGATGAATGGGAAGGCAAGCTGTGCAGATAATATTCCGTAACTAGACGAAAACATCACACACGTACAAACTATAAAAGGGTATATATGAGAAAGAGGAAATGAGTGAGATTGTTAATATCGCGTCTAAATTTCTCGTTTCTGATTAACGAGCGTCCATGTGTCGATGAAAACACACGGTGCGCAAAACTGATCGATATTTGAAATTTATTTTCATAGTGATAATGGAAAGAACAAATCAAAATAATATCTAATTAAAAATTGCTTAGTAAGAAAAAAAACAGAAGAGGTAAAAAGGGTAGACGGGATAAAATGATAAACAGGTTTAATATATCTCAACTAGACGAGAATCGAGATCAAAGTAATCCTCAAAGGAACAATAAACCGGGACTAATTTGCGTTTTCAACATAAATAAGAAATTTGAATCAAGTGAATATAATTTACCTTCTCTCTTGTGCTCCTTTAGATCCCCCTTTAAGATGGCTTTTACTATTACACCCACCATTCTGAATTCTCCTCCCACTGCAATTCGCTTCTGGTTGCATGATACTGGGCGCAGGCATGTTGGTCGTCTGATAAAGAGCCGTGTTATTCGCTCCGGAGGCTGAATTTGACTGGAGCTGATAACCCTTGTTGTTGTTATATCCCGAGGGATAGGTGGCATGCTGTTGTTGTTGTTGTTGTTGCTGCTGCTGTTGTTGTTGGTTGTTAGCAGTTCCGGTCGAACTTGTATCCTGCTGTATTGGCTTTGGTGTACTTGTGCTACCAGGCGGACGACGAATTCTCGAGAGTTCATAGACATGCTCTCTGTGCATTCGAAGAAAATGCTTCTTTACGTGATCCGCTCTATTAAACGGCTTGTAACAAATGTAACAGTGAAATGGTTTTTCCTCACGATGAATATTCTCATGACGTGTATAAAGATCACGTCTGTCTGTTCCGTAGGGACAAAATGGACATGTGTAACGTTTACCGCTTGCCGTTACTGGACTCGTGCTTGTCATACTCGCTGAACTCTGAAAGCATTAAAATTTTATTCTTATCTGCGAAAAATAAATTTCTTGGGATTAAGGAAAAATAAAATTTCAGGGTTTTCTTTAGAAAAAGATGTTTTGAGGTGCTGAATAAGAGAGGTGATTTTAATTACAAATTAGGTGATATCAACCGTTGTTGATATCATTTTTGATTCATTTCATTGAAGGTGGTAACAAATTAAGATAATATATACATGATACCAATCAAAGATGATAGAATTATTAGAAGTGCAGATGATGACAATTAGAAACAACAATAAATTAATTTGATGCAGTCGGAAAAAGTTTATCCAATACAGATGATAGTAAATATGTTAACAATTCAGATGATAGCAAATAAAGATTATGACAATTAGGAACAACATTAAATTAGGTTGCCGCAATTGGAGAAGTTTAATGAATACAGATGGTGCTAACTAAAGATGTTAAGAAATACAGATGATGGTAAATAAAGATGTTAAAAATTACAGATGATAACAATTAGAAACAACAGTAAATTAATTTGCTGTATTTGGGGTAAGTTTAGTAAAAACAGGTGGTGCTAGTTAAAGATTTTAAAAAATACAGATGATACTAAATAAAGTGTTAAAAACTTCATATGAAAGTAAATAAAGATGATTAAAATTAGGACCAACAATTGTGGTGCTGTACCTGCAGAGGTTTCAATAAATACAGATGACACTAAATAAAGATGTTAACAGTTATGGATTTTACAGAATAAATTTGTCCAATTGAAAAATAATTAACAAATAGAGATGATGATAAATAATGATGTTAACAACTACAGATTGATACCAAATAAAAATGATGACAATTAGAAACGATAAATTTAGAAACTGCAACCAATACAGATGATACTAAATAAAGATGTTAACTATTACGGATGACATCAATTAAACATGATAGTAATTAGCAACAATAAAGAATAATGCTGCAAGTGAAAAGAATGTAAACACAAACAGACGATACCAAATAAAAACAATAATATTCAACAAGAACAATAAAAAATCTTAAAAGTCAAAAACCGTAAGCAACCTTTAAGAGTATTCTCCAGGAAAAAAATCCTAATGCAATAAAAAAGACGGCAAATAATTGTTCCTTAGGGATAGTGTAGGGTTGTTAAAAAAATTGTAGAATGGCAATTTTAAGTGGCAGATGGGAATGTTTTCAAGAGGGAGTAGATATACAAGAGAATAAAAAAACCCTTAAAAAGAAAAGGAGGATTCAATCGTTTTAAGAGTCTCTAGAGAAGAGTTTGTTTTGTAGCGTGAGAGAAGAAGCAAAAAAAAGGAAACAGAGTCCGATTAAGAGTAGGTATTTAGTTGCCTCTTCGTTAAGTCCATTTGGAGCTCATTCGATTTTCAACGAGACAATAAAACTCCTCTGTTTGGTTGAGGGTTAAAAGGAGTTTGCCCAATGAAGTGGCTTGGCCACCTGCCAAATCAATTTACCAGACTCCGGAACAAACCTATATATATGCGGCTTAATAGAATTCTGCATAATGTTCCAACAAGAGTCAACAGATTGGCTTTCAAACAAATTTTCATCTTTCCCTCTCTTGTGAATTTTGACAATCATACTATTTCATTCGTTATGAATCTCTAGAAAGATAAATAGTTACATCTTTTACAACTTTGTTTACAAAAAATATTTGATTCACTCTTGCAAAAAAGATTGAATAGTCAATAATGTTTTTTCAGAAAAGATCAAAGGGTTTATAAATAATATCCATCAGGATCGTTGTTTTTGAGAATAAAGTGCGTGGTGATTTGAAAGGAATAGAACTTTGAGAGGGAGTTGCATACAACGACTCTTGGGAAATCAGTGACACGTGGGAAATTCTCGTTGACGTTACTGGTCATTCGCGTGATGCATAACATTTCCCTTTTTGCTTTCATTTTTTTGTGTATTTTCATTTTACATTTCTTGCACTCTCCTTATATCCCACGTGACTACCCTACAGTAATAGGACAAACAAAAATTTCACACGGAACATTTCACTTTGAGAAAAAAAACAAACAAGATGCATCCATCTCCTTATAACTTCACTATCATAAAAACTTTTTTAATTTCGCTATAAAATTCATCACTGATGCTAATATCTTCTAAAAACTAAAACTTTTACACAAAAAACACTGTAACTTTTTTCTTGATTAATCCCTAAAAAATTCACTATTGTTTACTACAGCTTCGGAGTTAATTATTTTTTGGAAATAATTTTGTTTTGAGAATTATTTTATTACCTGATGTAAATGTTGAGAGATCGATGGTGCTGATGGTAATTCTTGTAATAGAAATGTGGAAGTGGCAGGAAGTAAAGTCGCGGGGACTGTTTGTGTTTCCTGGGTTCTACGTGAAGGTGGCGCAGATCTTTCGGCCCTATCTCGCACCCTTTCCAGGTAGGTAACAACGTCCTCAAGTTTCAGTTCGTTGTGCAGGTAATCTTTACGGGTCGAATGATGTCTATTCCTCGTGTCGTCCCCAATGATCCTCGAGGAATGCAATTCAACGAAATGTTCAGCTACCTCTCTAGGACCCCCTCCCATTAAGTCACCTGTACAAGAGGCGGTGGAAAATATTTTTCATTCTTCCCACTTCTGTATAATATACATACCCCACCAATCAACCAACCCAAGTATTTTACAGCACAACTTCAAATTTCAAACAGAAAATTATCTTTTTGCATTAAAAAACTTTAGAGTTCGTTGAGTAGTCTATAAATTGTTCATCACTTTTTGTTTATCAATTTCTTCCCACGATAATAATTAGAGTTTGATTAGAAATTAAAAATTTATAGACCACTGATAATATTTACTGGTAAATATTCTAAATTTTTGACATTAGGATCAATTTCTGTATTTGTCACCCAAGAGACTGATTTTGAGTGTTCTGGTTAAAAGCAATATTGCAATGGTTCAAAAATTCGAAAAACTGGTGTTAAAAGGGGGAAAAGAGATAAAAATGGGACAAAAAAGGGGGTAAATGGGGTAAAAAGAGTAAGAAATGAGGTAAAAGGGTAAGAAAAGGATAAAAACGAATGAAGAGGATAAAAAGGGTAATAATGGGTAAAAATAATCAAAAATGATAAAAAAAAAGTTTAAAACAGTGTAAAGAGAATTAGCAAAATTAACGAAAAAATTTAGAATCGAATGTTAATTAACAACATGGTTGACTAATTCAGAAATTAATCTCCCGAAATACCCAAAATTGTCATTTAATGAAAAGAAAAGTCTGAGAATAAGCGGAAAAATTTCTTAATAATAAAATTCGAAAAATTGGAGAAGAAAATCGAAACTCACCGCACTCGTAACATCGCCAGGTGGTTTTTGTGGAGTGATAGGCGGCAATTCTGCTGCCGTCAGTTCCCTTAAGTGGTTCCTCGTCACATGTCCAATCATCACTGAGATCGCCTCCATTGTCCGTATCATCTTCAGTCTTATAACTCACCGAAGTCTCGAATTCGTTTTGCACACTTGAAGCTATTAAAAAAAAGAGCCATTTTACCATTTAAGGATGGTACTAATTGGTGTCAACAAATATTAACAATAGAAAATAAATTTGATACGAAAAAAAAAATTGTTAACTAAATAAGATCTCTTGTCCAAAGTAAAAAGTTACTAAAAATAATTTAGTAACATTTTCCGCATGAAGTTAGGTTATAAAATCAAGACCTTGTGGAAAATACAAAATACGGTTACTTAGGTTGTTTGGGACAGAAGAGATGGTAGAAATTATATTAATGATATAAATGATAATAAAATGTATAAGCAAGATATATATATTAAATGTACGGAATTGTATATTTAGATATATATATATATATATATATATATATATATATATATATAGTTGGGGAAGTGCATTAGCGATGACATGGCAAGTAGTGTGTCTCCTGACAAGTAGCTGGGGGTGCTTGATATCCCAATTAGTCTGAAGCTCTTGGATAGTCAGTACATATTACGAAGATACAGGTATCGAGTACCCGCAATGTGTACAATGTTCCAAATGCTCTACGTGCTATGTTAGCATTAGTATTAGCTATTGATTACATTAATCACTGCAATCAAAATTGAGAGCCCAACGCACACTAATGATAGGGATTTGGAATGCCCCGCCAATTGAGGAATCTATATGTTAATTTTGACAAGACCGAGTTACAGATTCAATTAATTTCGTGAGGATACATCTTTTCTTTGCACTTTCCTTCTATTATTTTTTGTTACCCGTTATTGTAATTAAATCAATGATTATCTCCATTGGGTTAATGAATATATCTATTTAGTGTAATTGTTTACTGTTGGAATTTTGCAGTTGGAAAAGGTTTAACCAATATGAATAAAGATGTTAATAATTGCAGATTACACCCTATTTTGCTACAACTGGAAAAGAATTAATAAATACATAGATGATATATATTAAATAGAGATGTTAAAAATTACGGATGATACTAAATGAAGAATATGTTAAAGCTACATATGATACTAAATAAAGATGATTACAATTAGGATCAACAAGAATCTTTCCTGCTACACCTGCTGAAGTTTCAACCAATACAGATGATACTAAACAAAGATAATAAGAGTTACAGATTGTACGGAATAAATGTGTTCCAATTGAAAAAGAATTAACAAATACAGATGATGGTAAATAAAGATGTTAACAACTTCTACAAATGATACGAAATAAAAATTATGACAATCAGGAACGATAATAAATTTGGAAACTGCAACCAATATAGATGATACTAAATAATTATGTTAACTACTAAGGATGATACCAAATGAAAATGATGACAATTAGGTGCAACAATAAATTCATTTGTTGCAGTTGGAAAAGGTTTATCTAATACAGATGATATACTAATTAAAGATGTTATTAATTACAAATGATACTAAATAAAGATGTTACCAATTATAGATGATATTAAATAAAGATGATTGCAATCATAAACAGATAATTACTATTAACAATAATCTGTTATACAAACATAGTGTTTCTAAGGATATCAAAGAAAAAACTAATCAAAACGTTGCTTCGCAACATTTTTCATTCGTTTTTTCCCTCAATTTGATATCCTTAGGGAAAATGTGAATTAAAAACCTAGTAACCGTATTTTTTTCATAAGGTCGAGTAATGCAGATGATTTTAGTAAATACTAATTGTTCTAAATTTGTTTTTCGTTTAAAAATATTTAGTCCAAATGTTCAAATTCAAAATACATCGAGAATAACTTACTTCTGTGATCGGGATCCTCGCCATAGAGTTTCCTCGTTATTTCCTTAAACATATCCTCATAGCAGTCGAGTCGACCGATTCCCGGTCCACCACCCTCCATCGTAATGGTATTTCAGTTGAGAGCCACTGTATTTTTTTTTCTTCTAAAAGAGACCCTCGAGATCCTCCTCCTCCTCCTGCACCCCAACACCACCCCCTGGGTCCTTGTACAACGTTCCCTCGGTTACCTGATGTACCGTTAAATTACAGGATAAGTCTTCCTTTCCAACCTTATACTGTCTAAGATTTTTATTTTTTTTTTTCTAATACTATAATATTCTTATTATCGCAGATTTTTTCAAATTCATTTCGTAACCATCACATTGTCAACAAAAAAAATTATTTTTTTTGGAAATTAATATTTTTTCTTTATATTATTAATATTGTTAAGAGAAAATATATTTTTCTTTTACTTTTATAAAAGTACCGCAATAATTCGAAGCTTATGTAGAAGGGAAAGAAGCTTCCTTCATTTTTGAGGGAGATTTACTCCCCATTTTCTTTTCCGGTCATAAATATTCTGAATTGTAAATCCTTTTAGAAAATATTATTGACAATGTGTTGTATTCAATTTTTCTTCAGTTCTCAAATGAGAAAGAGGTATTAAAAGAGAATCGAATGAATGAGAAAGGTGCGGATATTTGTAAAATTCTGTATTCTTTAATAATTTTTACCTCCAATTGCATATTGTTTTTTATTTATTCAATTCTACTGTATATAATTGCCACTACTTTTTTCCAAAGTATTTATTGCGAATAAAATTAGGATGTTATAAAATTACTATATAATATAAAATATACAGAATATATAATTATATATTATTAATATTACTATTATACTATTCCTGTAGATTAAAATGCAATTAACAACAAATTTTAAATACATTTAATTAAAGAATTTAATTACGAACTAGAATTTATTTTATTTGAAAATTTAATTATAGCAAAGGAGGTGTAAAATTACGTCTATACAACGTACTTAAAGCAATAATAATTAAATTCCTCTTTTTATTTCGCATTATAAATTAAAACTTTGTTTTTCCTTTTCTCTATCTAGTATTAAGGGGATGGAAAAGAAAGAGGAGAGAGAGAGAGAGAGAGAGAGAGAGAGAGAGAGAGAGAAACTCAAGACGACTTAAAACTTGAGACTAATTCGAATTGAGGCATACATAACCTAAACTTTAATCGTATTGCATCAACAGAGTGCGTTATCCCCCCTCCGGAGGAGGTACCTACTCTCCCCCCTAAAATTACTTCCAAAGTGCTTTATATTCCTTTTCAAAGCAGACACCCAATTACTCATTTTACCTATGGCACTCTACTACCCCCCCCTTTTCTCTTTCTCATAGCATTTGCAAAGTCGTTACTGCCTTGCCTCACTAAGTTTTGCAGCGACACACTGCGATTCAATTCTCATTTGGTTTGAAACTGGTACTTTCTACTATAGAGCTTTGAAATACATGCCACACCGCCTTCGGGATTTTGGTTCTATGCTGTTGTGGTTTACCCAAAACTACGGCACTATTGGGAATATATATAAGCATGTTTCTTTGTGTGTGTGTGCGCGCGCCTTTGTACTGAAATTAGTATTAGCTGAGGGGACTCACGTTACTTTGAAGTCGATATATGTATATATGTATGTTATTCCAGTGTATATAGATAATAATTCACACATTATTCGTGTTTGAAATTCATACACAGAAACCGCTAAATTGTTTAATGGTGATCACGTGCGGTGAATCACCGAACTAGTGATATGAGTAATGTGTGAATCGAGCTTTAGTTTTCACTTTCCTGTTTGTACAGTCCAAAGCTTTAATTCCTTTCTTCTGGTTTGATGGAGTTTTAAAAAGTCGTGACACATCTATAGTGTTGTTAGTTCGTGACGTACAGGTAACTGCTTATATGCTGTCCTTCTGTTTATTTTTTTATTCTGTCTATTCTATCTATTTATGTATTTGGTTCATAACATATAAATAAACATTCGTACCTCGCGAACTAAGAATATTTGATAGAAATGACACACGACTTTTCAAAATTCCGCATCAGACCGGAAGGACCAGCATATATGCATTTGGGTGTATAATGTTAGCTACGAACTAATAAGGTTGTAACAGAAATGCTGTAGCATTTCTGTTACGTAGGACTGTAGTCCTACGGTTGTCAGAAAAGTGACCGCAAATCGGAAGATTTGCGGTCACATTTCTGAAAACCGTAGCAAACAAGTTTATTCATACGCCATGAACTAACAACATTTTAATAGATGCGTCATGACTTTATAAAAACGGCGTCAAACCGGAAGGATAGAAGTGTCGTTTTTTGTCCATGATTACAATAACGATTCGCGTTCCTGATTAGGAATCTACAATGCGTTGACCTTGATGATTAAAAAAGTGAAAAGTAAATAAACCAGAAGCTCAATTCAAACAAGAACCTAAGTTAAACAGATGAGAATCTAAATGAAACAAATAATAAAGTTTTTTCAATCCACTTGAACAATTATTTAATACTGTACATACAGTGAACCATGAGGGAAATCTTCCCTTTCTATTTACTATTTACAAACTGACCAAATAATGACTCTTCAAAAAGTTTGTAAAAAGTGTAGGTAAAAAACATCCAAAGTGAAATAGTGAAATTATCTGAAACTATTAAATTATCCCTTAAAGGCTGCTCCACATGTTCTGTGAATTCACTCTTTCTCTCTCTTTATCTTTCGATCATCTCTGTCTCTCTCTCTAGGGAATGCAAATTCAAGTGGTCCGGAAGTAAATCGTCTGCAATTGGCGACTCATGAATGCACCTCTGGCGTGTAACAACCGCAATTACCTACTTCGTGTATGGGAATGATGGTTGTCCCTGCGTCCAAGCAGGGAACTGCAAGTGGAGCTGAAAATTGATTTCGATCGAGTCGCCGAAACGAAATAAATCCTCTCCCCCACACACACTATATAAATTTGCTGAAACTCATTTCTCCTGCGCACCATCAACGCACATACACAAGCGAGCTACACTGTCCCATGGATCCAGAAGGCGAGTTCTATATTGATCGAGAAGGAAGATTCCCCCTTTTGGAACCAGCTGACGCAGCATCATCATCATCCCCTAACACCATCTCTCTCTCTCTCCTTTGTTTCATCCTCCTTCATTCATTTTACACACATGGAGAAGGACAGCAATATAACACCGTAAAACGAGGAGAAGATTCCCCTTCCCTTTAAAAAAGGGGAAGGTTTAAAGAGGAAGGGGGAATATTCTTCCAAGAAGGAAGAGAAAAAAAATATTTAGGAGTAAAAACTATCCCCTTCCTTCAAAGGAGGAGAGCCTCCCCTCTCTCCCTTTCCTCCTCCTCCTTCTTTCAAGGAAGCTTTCCCCCTTTCTCAACAAGGACTTGGAGAGAAGGGAGGACTTGAAGGAAGGGGAAAATCTAAGGAGTAGGGAGGTCTTGTCCATGAAAGAAGGGGAAAATTAAGGAGGGGGAGGTCTTCTCCTTGAAGAAAGGGGAAATTACTAGCCATCGAGAAAGAGAGAGCAACCCCCCACATTCTTCAAAAAAACAGAGGGGAAATACCTTCAACTCTTTAGTTTTGAGGAAAATTGATCCCCTCCCCTCTCTCAAAATTCCCCAGTTTCCATGAAGAAAGGAAAACAATGAGGAGAAAATACCACCACTTGAAGGGAATGAATTCTCCTTCCCCCCTCTTTTGAGTGATCAGAGGGAAAACTCTCCCCACCACTTAAGTAAGGAAATGGTGGTGGTGGGGGGATTTCTACTACATATAAGTGTTGAACGCAATGAGGAAAGAGGAAAATACGTCCCCTATCCTTGCAAATCAGAGGAAAACTCATTCCTTTCTCTTCACATTGTTTTCATTAGAAAAACAATAAGGAAAATTGGTGCAACAAGAGATCAAAGGAAAATTCTTACCCTTACCCTACGTCCTCAATTTTTATGAGAAAAAACAATGAGGGGAAATTTTTATAATAATAAGAGATGAATGCAATACACTGTAAAAAATTTAGGGAGTTAACGGACTCGGGAGTTGGGAATGAAATTTTTCGAGTTAAAAATCAACTCCAAAAGAGAGTTAATTTCTAACTCCCTTCATTCAACACCCGCGCGAGTTATTTTTTCCTTGGGGAGTTAGCATTTGGGTGTGAAGTTTTAGCTCTCTTTATTTAACTCCCCTGGCATTAACTCCCCAATGGATGCGACTTTTATAGAATCCCCTTGGGAGTTAAAATTTAACTCCCTTTTTTTACAGTGTAGAAGGAGAGACAAGGAAAAAACGAAGAAAAAGAGAGAGGATTATGAAAAGGAAGGAAGAAAAGTAATAAAGAAAGAAGAGAAATAAAGAAGAAAAGGAAGGTTGAGAAAAAGGAGAAAGAAGCAATGTAGGATAGAAAGAGAGAAAAAAGAAAGAAGGCTTAAAAAAAGGAAAGAGAGAGAGAGAGAAAAATAGAAGGGAAGAAGAAAAAAGGGAAAGAAAGAAAAGTAAAGATAGAGAAAGATAGAAATAGAAGGAAAGAGAGAGGAAGAAGAAAGGCGAGAAAGAGAAAAAAGAGAGTAAGAAAGAGATAAAACAAAGAGAGAAGAAAAAGAGAGGAGAGTAAAAAATAGAAGGTAAGAAATTAAAAACGAGAGAAAGAAATAGAAAAGAAAGAAAGGAAGAGAAAAAAAGGAGGGAAAACGAAAAACAAAGAAAGAAGGAAAGAGAAAATAAAAAATGTCAAAAAACAAAGAAAAATTAAAACAAGTTTTTCATTTTATGACCATTTAGCTTTCTCAATATATTGAGAAAAAAAACTGGACACGAAAAAAAACCTGGACTAATTTTTGTTGCAACTCAAAATGAGCCCATGTTAAATGCCATATAACGTGGCGCCACCTACGAGGTTCATTTTTGTTGCGTTTCAAATTGAGTAGCGTAGGCTACTCAATTTGAACCTAGGTTTTTTCAGTGTATATAAATAGTATATCATAATATTAAATAAATTAGGAAAAAAATAAAAAATTTGAATTTTTTGTGAAAAAGAATAGTAGATTGTGCATCAAGGGAGGGAAATGGATGATTTCCGACGAGTGTAGTTTGCAGTTCGAGGCGTAGCGAGCAAACGAGCCGAAGGCGAGTGCTTGCGAGCGAAGCCGAGAACTGTAAAACACGAGTGGAAATCAATTTTCCTCCCGA